GAGTGAGTGAGTAGTTGCTACTATAGTGAATTATTAACCTGAGTTTTCTTCTATCATTTATAATTTAGGTGATCCTTCCCCAGCCCTGGAAGTTCCAAGGAAATAAGAGACAGAAGAGAGAGAGAAACAAAATGAAATACAAAATGGAGATCATCTGGAAGTCAGTCAGTTATTAGCTTTTGAATTTCAAAATGGGCTTTGGAAACTCATTGAACAGGATGACTTCCAAATACACCCCAAACACTTAGCTCTGAGTGTGAAAAAATACAGTCCCCAAGAGCAAAGGGCATGGAGCTTTTACAATGATTAATAGATTTGGTGAAGGATAAATGAGAAACCAGCTTGCCTTGCCCTGGAAGATTCCTTAACAGGGCAGGGATGGTATGGAGGCCACTGGGCTGAGAGCAAAGGGATCCGGACAGACAGCCTAAATGGACAGGGGGTGGGGTCAGCACTGAAAAGCTACTCAGCCTCAGCAGAGCCACACACTGGTCATGCCCCCAGTGTTGGGGGGCGGGGGGCTTGGACAAGGCTCAAAGATGATCCAGATCTCAGGCTAAATGACGGTTAGCCACAGTGCAGGCCCAGGGGCCACGCAACAGTTCTTTCATTTTCCAGAAAGACACACCCATCTGTGGGCCCAACTTGGCTCAGCCCTCTAAGTTACCAGGGACAGAAAGCCTTATTTTTTCTCAGCCAGGAGGAAAGAAAGGAAAGTCTTTGGAGTCCCTACTGAATGGGGGCCCTGCTCCAGACACCCGCTGAGCCTGGGCGGGAGGAAGCAGTAACCTAGCAACAAGAGGTCTGATTCACAGGGGCAAGTATTAGATGTTCTGATGGGACGAGGTGGCAGGTCTGCAGTAGGGAATGCATATGGGAAGGAATCAAGGTTTTGATTTTAGCACTTCACATTTGCCTGCATAGCTGTTTCTCAATTTCTTTCTTTTTTATTTTTGGGTAGTCCTGGGAATCAAACCTAAAGGCCTCCTCTCTCTGTGGCTGATCTGTGCCCCTGCTACATCATCCACCAATCCTTCTCCACATTCACATTTAAAGATGAGCTCTCTACAGGGGATGGGAATGGGAGAGACAGTAGAATGAATCAGACATCACTTGCCTATGTGCACACGTGAAACTCCACATCATGTACAGCCACAAGAACGGGAAGTTGGACTCCACGTATGATATATCAAAATATACTCTACGGTCATGTATAACTCAAAAACAAATCAAATAAAAATAAGGATTAGCTCTCCAGTTTTCACCTTACAATTTACTTTTCATAAGCTTTTTTTTTTTTTTAATATAGTGAACAGTTTTTCAATCCTTCGGGTAAAAAGTTTAATTGCTCCTAACTCTTGATGGATGACTTGAGATGTACATATTTTCCTTCCAATTTTCTTCCAGAGGGTTGAATAAGTTCCTTGAAATCATTAGCTCTATTCACAGATCCTCACATACCTGCAGGAAATTCTCTAATACTTAATTCTCAGAAATTCATTATTGGCCAAAAGCCTAGAAATCTTGATTTGCTTTTAGTATTTTTATTATTATGGAGCAAAAACAGTCTGCAAAAAATTTGACAGATTATTATTTCTGCTCAATAGGTTTATATCTTCCTGTTCAGTCTATTAATTTAATACTTCACATCCCTTTATTAGGTCCTCTAAATATTATTAAGCATTTTCGGTGACATTCAACTCAGGCAAAACAGATTTTTTTTTTTGCACTCTTCTTTAGTAGCAAAAAAATTAAAATATCTCAACTCTACAAAACCTTCACTAACACACTCTAACATTCTCATATTCGAGCAAGAGATCTGCTATTAAGGAAAGCAAAGGGAATAGGGAATGTGTTCCCTTTGGTCTAGCAGTTTTTGTTTCAATTTTCTACTTTACAACCCTGGAGCAGAAAGTGTTCAGACAGTGGGGCAACAGAACTTCACAAACCTGACACCTGAGCTGTGCACGTAGCTTTATTGCACTCTGTCCGTGTTCAAATTACAGAAAATTAAGTGTTGTGCCCAGGGAAGACAACCTCATCCCCCACCCCTGAATTGATTTCCTGACAACTATTTCCACGATACCCACAAAAGTTCAGTTATAATAAACTGTTAGAACAATGGAAAGGGACGTAACACAAAGACAGATAAAAACAGAAAGGGTAGCAAGCAAATTGGTTCCCATCCCTGAGACTCAGAAAGATCTACGTGACCTGTAGGCCTGTGAGTACACAGTCCCTGGCTGCGTCCTGACATTTAGGTCAATGATGGACCACATTTGTGCTGGTGGCCCTGAAAGATCACAAAGGAGCTGAAAAATTCCCTGATCACCTTGTGACGTCATTGCTGTCACCAATGTCACAATGCGCTCCTCCTGGGTTTGTGTTGGTGCTGGTGTAAACAGGCCTGGTGTGCTGCCAGACATGTAAAATAAAGCACAGAAAATTATACACAATATATAATACTTGATAATAAACAACCATTACTGGTTTATGCGTTTGCTCTACTATATACTCTGATCATTATTCAGAGTAAACTCCTACTCACAAAAAAAAAAGTTAATTGTGGCTGGGGAAGAGCATTTGCTTAGCATGTGCATAGCCCTGGGTTTGATACCTAGTACTATTAAAAAAAAAAATAGTGTAAAAATAATATGCCGTGTGGGGCCAGCAGGTGTGTGGGAGGCATCTCTCTCTCTCTCTCTCTCTCTCTCTCTCTCTCTCTCTCTCTCTCTCTCTTGCTCTCATCATCATCATCATCATCCTGGTGTGGGATTGAAGCCAGGGCCTCTGCATGCTAAGCATGCACTCTACCATGTCTCTGTATCTCCTGTGCTTGATTGGGCCTTATGTGGTCTTGTTCATTATGGCCCCAGGAGCAACGGGCCACCCGTGTCATACAGCCTAGTGCACAGTAGGCTAGACCATCTGGAGTTGAGTAGCACACTCTGAGACGTTCACACAACAAAATCGCCTAACCACACATTTCTCTGAATGTATCCCTGTTGTTAAGCTGTTACCAATAATCTCGTTTCCTCCCCTAAGAGGAGGAACTCCCCCCAAAGGGTGTGTTTTCCAGTTGGATGTTGCAAAGTCAAGAGTGAGGCTGAGCCCCAAGAGCACATGTTTATTCAGTGACCAAAGAATGGAGAAATGGGAGCCTGGCTGGCAAATGGACTTCTCAACCTGTTTTAATGGAGAAATCATAGATTTAGAGTAAAAAGAAATAAAAGGGAAGGATAGGCGAATAAAGTTGTGGGGGACTGTTCATGTCTTTGCATAGGCGGCTGTTTCCTGGAGTTCAATTCACCTCTTTTTCCCTGCACCTTTTATGGTCTGGGGCTTGCTCTCCTGGCAGCTGGTAGATGTGTCACTTAGCATGGGAATTAGATTCTCATGAAGCTCGAGGTCATCCCTGGCAGCCATCTCAGATGCAGCCGGCTTGGGGATAGCCTACCTGAAGAGGAACTTTTGACACCCTGACCTCAAAGACAGGCTGGAAATGCAGCCAGGCCTCCTAGGGCGTACACTGGGTGACAGACGGGTGACTGAACATTCTTGAGCAGGATGTGTTGCGAAACTCGACTGCAGAACAATTCAATATGTTTTTCAAATGCACCGTCTCGGTTCCCTCATTGAGTGTGCTCCGTCAAGATAGAAGGAATGAGTCTGAATCACAGAAGAAATGACAGATGTAAGGTCAGGCAGTTTTAAAAGGCTGCTGGATGAGTCTTTATTGAGATTTCATTCCTGGGCGAGACCCTCAGACCAACAGGGTGGGTCAGGGAGAAGCGTGCAGGGCTGAACCAGACTGGAATTTTTATTGGGCTTAAGGAGGGCTTGGAACAGGAAAGGGGGCGTTTTAGAGTCCCTTGTCCTACTGGGGTTGGTCAGGGGAGCTGGCTAAGATTCAGGATTGGCCAGGAGACCCCGCTGATTGACAGGCGGTTCCTTCAACGCCTGATTGGTGTTTCTTTCTTGGGCTTGGATTGCTTAGTGCTTTGTTCCTCAACCACATCCATCCACCTGACAACTGACTCTGGATCAAATGAAGCCACAAGAAAATAGTGGAAAATGCGACTTCAATAACTTCAAGTTGAGACTTAAGTGTGCCTCTTGGTACTTATGTTTTTTCCCTTCCCTTTGGTACCAGCTTGAACAATGAGCCTGATCCCCAGCCCTTTTTTTTTTTTTTTTTTGTAGTTGTAGATGGAAAGTGTGCCTTTATTTTATTTGTTCATTTTTATGTGGTGCTTAGGATCCAACCCAGGACCTTGCACAAGCTAGGCAAGTGCTCTACCACTGAGCTACAACCCCAGCACCCCCAGCCCTTTTAAAAATTTTTTTATTTAGAGACAGGTTCTCTTGAAGTTGCTTAGGGCCTCACTAAGTTGCTGAGGCTGGCCTCAAACTTACGCTTCTCATGCCTCAGCCTCCCAGTTTGCTGGGATTACAGTGGGCACCACCAAACACAGCCACAATGTATCTTTCTTTAAACATTTATTTTTTTAGTTGTAGGTGGACACAATACTTATATTGTGTCCACCTACAACTAAAGGATCAAACCCAGCTAAGGATCAAACCCAGTGCCTCACGAATGCTAGGCAAGAGCTCTACCACTGAGTCACAACTCCAGCCCTAAAAGGGATTTTAAGACTGCATTTTTTTTCTACTTACGCTACAAATAGAATGAGAACACATTTGGAAATGACTTCAAGTCAAAAATTTCAGTTCTATGACCATACCTACTGGAAAATGTGGAAGAATTCACTAAGTGATGAAGAAGCATAGAAAGACTAGGACAACTTATGTCTCAATCCAAAGGAAAGGTATAAATCTTGTGAATTGCAAGCTGACACAGTGGCATGTGCCTGTCATGGTCACAGGGCATGAATTTGAGACCATCCTGGGCAACACAGTGAGACCCTATCTCACAAAAAGAAGCAAAACAAAAAGATCTTGTATTTGCAATAAAGACAATTAGGAAAGATTACAGATTATACATCTCATTACCCTTATATATTTCTCATATATATCACCAATAACACAAAATAGTCAATCATTTGCTTAAAATTCATTTACTTTTTACATACACAGTCATAACTACATCAACATTTTAATATCCATAAGTGATACATAAAATTTAAACTCGAAAATGAAGCAACTGGTGTTGCTTTTACAATGCTTCCCACCTGAAATAGGAAAAGAACGTTCTGGCCACGTGGCTCAGAGGAACAAGACACTGATACAAGTATTAGAAAGTAAGCAAATAGAACATTCATCATGAATACTAAATGGTAATATTCAACATGGCAGGAACCAAGGTCAAATACCAAGCATTTGACCTTGGTATAGAAGTAAAGAATAGCACTGTGGTAGCCTGCAGTGGCCTTCCAGCGGTAGTAGAAGGTTTGCCACTTAACAGGAACCAGTTCTCAGTCCCCAACAGGCACAAATTCATAGCGCACACACTCCATCCATCAGCAACCCAATGTGGAAATGCAGTCAATTCTATTATTTGGCACTGTCTGGCCATCAGGCTCAATTTCCATTTTCAGGTCATGTGGCCTTTCTCGTCCTATGGAGTGAATGCAGAAGAGGAAGAACAAGCAGGCACCTCCTATTGTGATTTCAGAGGTCGCAGGAAGGCATGTTCCTGCAATTGTGTAACAGGTGTGATCTGTCAGTCATCACTCAGACAAGCCCTAGTATGCACCATGAACTATTAAATAGTAATACACATGCACAAGGGCTATTTAGTGGTTTAGGGAAGACCCCACTATCATTCCATCCAACTTTTAGTTTTTATTTATTTTTGGAATGCTGGGGATGGAACCCAGGTCCGGCTCCATTCAACTCTTGTCTTTTAAGATTGAACCCAGGGATGCTTAACTACTGGGCTACATCCCAGGCCCCCTCCCCGCTTTTTTTTTTTTTTTTTGAGACAGGGCCTCCCTAAGCTGCTGAGGCTGGCTTTGAACTTGTGATCCTCCTGTCTCAGCCTCCTGAGCCACTGGGATTATAGGCATGTGCCACTGCAACCAGCTTCCATTCAACTTTTAAAGACCAACACCCTGGTCTTGTAGAGATGGGGAGAAACATGAGAGGTTGCTTTTCTGAGGGATACATGCAAGCAGGGCTGAGGATCCAAATCCCACAAGCCATTTCTACCTCCAAGAGAACAACTGTCTGGCCCTGGGAGCTACAGCTGGAGAAAGTCAGGGCTGTACAGAGATTAACTCAGTATAGCTGTCTGCAAATGGAGATGAAAGTGAAAGGGTGATCCGTTCAGTTTTAGACAGAAAAAACAATCCACAAACTACATAAATTCATTCACATTCTTGCTGAGTTTCTGCTCTCTGCCCACCCTGTGCAGAACCCCTCAGATACAAACATGAATAAGAAATATATTCTTCCTCCAAGCTCGTGGTCTGGTAGGGAAGACAGATGCGCCAACAGAGAATGACTAGACTTTGCTAAAAATTCACAATGATGGCAATGATCTTTGCCAGGCTGGTTTTCATCCAACAGAAATTGGATGGCATCATGTACCAGGAGTCTTCTGCCAAAAAAATATAACCTCCCCTCTCCCCACAGAAAGAGTTCCTGAAAAGCCATCCAAAGATAAGTTGTATTAGCAATAACAAAATAAAATCTAACCACAAGGATGAGATCCTCGTTAGAATAAGTTATATTCCATGCATGTATGTGTCAAAATGTACTCTACTATCATAAATTTTTAAAAAGAACAAATTAAAAAAAAATAATATAGAAAGGCTTTTCTACACATCACAGTAAAATAGTTTCATAAGACTACTTTTGGAACATGTAGCTGAAATCAGCCAAAGGAAAGAGAACAGGAGTTTTGAGAGGCAAGAAAAAAGAAGCGAGAACTATTTTGAAAGAGAGAGCACTACAGCCAGAGATAGGGGGCACCCAGAGGAAGGAGAGGGAAGGGGGGTACCACCTTCTCTAATGTGTGGTTGTCCCCACCACGTGGGTACTGACCCCTGACCTTAGGGACATTATTCTACCACCCTGGAGTGTTCGAGTGGTCCAAGTACTGGCAACGGAGACAGGTGAGCGATCTAGATTTTGTTTTTGTTTGGGGCGTTTTCTTTGTGGGTGCTGGGGACAGAACCCAGGGCTCACACATGCTGAGCCGCACCTCCAGCCCTGGAGAGGGGGGCTTTGGTGGAGAGTCCACCCAGAGCAAGGAAGAGATGCGTGAATCAAGATTCAGTTAAGGAAAATAAAATTCTTAAAAATATATATTCAGTTAAGGAAAGATAGACACACCAAAAATAGAAAAAGACAGGCTTTCAATGAATGTGTACCAAAAATATTATTAATTATTTTCTTCTGTTCACATCTCTTCATATGCTCTTTATCTTTAAACTCCAGATTTCCCTTTTCATTTATGGGCTGCCAGCGATATTAAATGAAAATATTTCAATAGTTTGCATTTTCGGCAATTTAGTTCTAAAGCTCATGAGTAACAATAGATTAAATAAAGTGAATCCAAAGTCAAAAACTTCAGGCACAGAAATTCATTAACTTTTTAATACTCTCCAGAAGATGAACCTAATTTTAAATGAAAGCTGCCTCTTAAACTATATTATGGTTGTTCTAGACCATAATTTGTTTTGGCAAACACTCTGAAGAAATTCGCATGAAATTTCAATGAACTACAAGTAAATTACCCATGTAGCAAAAAATATTTTTGGATAGCTGCAAATGAATGCTAAAAGATGATGGACTTTGGAAGAAAAATAGTAATCAAATAAAATATGTAGTGATGGCACATGGGTTAGAAATTATTCCCGGTAATCCGTCTCTATTAAGGAGACTATCCACATTTAATTTGGTCAAGTGTAGTTACACAGTGAACGTGAAGGCCCTATTGAGACACAACCCAAAATGCCAAAGTAAAATTTCTTTTTAGGGTTTTAATCCGAAAGACATAGAATAATTTTTTCCTTGATTCACTAAAAACCAAAATTACAGTCATTAATGAAAATGTTCCCCCTTTGAACCCTAACTTTTAGTATGTTTCGTTTCTTTCATTCATTAAACAGTTTCTTATTCTGGCCCAAACAGCATCATTGCAAATCTAGTAATAATTAAATCTTCCCAAAGCTTCCTTCCCCTGAAGTAAATCCAGTGTGATCCATAACTACCAAATTTACTGGCATTACAGCAGACAAATAATCAATTTCTCTATCCACCAAATTACCCAACTGAACAGATTTTGAGAAAAAATATGGAAGTCGCAGGATAAGGCAGTCACACTTGCTAGAAGATTTTAAACATACCCAGCCTCTCCTGTGACTTCTATTAATTTGCCTACAAAAAAGGCTGATAAGGTGCAAATTATGAATGATTTTTAATTACAGGTGAGCTGGATAAAAGTACCTACATTTTTTTGAAAGTTGAGGAATGGTCAGTGGAAATTTCTCTCTGTGTTAGACACTATGTATATTTTTTTCCCTTGCTTTTCCTTTCTTTTCTTTTTTTATTTTTGCAGTGCTAGGGACCGAACCCAGCCAAATGCTGGGCAAATGCTCAACCACCAAGTCCCACTCCCAGCCCCTAAATGCTTATTTCTCTATACTTTCTCCTTCAAGACCCCATCTCCATTCATAGAGAAAGAAAGCTACCACCTCCCACACCCCAAGCCCCGCACCAAGACTCCATTTTTCAATTTTATGGAAAGGGTCAGATCTCTGGAGACTGCAGATGGAAACTAGATGTCCAAAAATTTTGACAAGTGGTACTTAATTATAATTATCCTGGATACACTTTTTCGATGACACGATTTGCTTTGTGTTAACAAATGGCTTTTCTGTTGTATTAACTACTTTTGAAATAATGCAAATAAAAAAATTGTTTTAGAATTCAACCTTCTAGAAACTTTCTTAGTATTATCCAAATGTAAAATATATCAACATTTATTAATTCAAATAAATTATATATTTAAAAGTTACATGTTTAAGAATTATATAAACATATTACAAGTTATACAAATCACAGACTTACAAATTTACAAATACATTCTTAAAATTGATCTTAAATATAAATTCTCAAGATAAATTAGGAGTTTTAAGGAGAAAAAAAAAAAAAGAGTTCAGGGGCAAGGTGTGGTGGTGCAGACCCTGTAAGCCCAGCAACTCAGGCGGCTAAGACAGGAGAATCACAAGTTCAAGGTCAGCCTGGGCAAACCCTGTCTCTCAATAAAAAATAAACAAACAAAAATGGATGGGACTGTGGCTCAGTGGTAAAACACCTTGGGTTGAGTCTCCAGTACCCAAAATAAAAAGAAAGAAAAAAAGAGTTCAAGGCTTCACATCTAGAAAATTGGGAAACGGGTCATTGGAAGCAACAGAATTGTGGAGTAGCTGTTGAGTGAAAGTGGCTGAAACTGGGCTCACGGAGTCCTCCTGCCTCAGCTTCCTGAATAACTGGGACACCGTCCACATGACCATATCCAGTTACTCACATGATTTTTAAACCTGCTGGTGTCGAGGTTAGACAAACTGGATAAATCTGAAAGACGGGCTCAAGTTTCTCACACCTACTTTAAAGTATACAGATTGATTTTAAAGCACTGAATCTTAAAAACACATCAGTGAGCTGGGTGTAGCTCAGCAGTGCTTGTTAGCATGAGCAAGACCTTGAATTTGACCCAGGGAGCTTTCAAGAAGAAAAAACAAAACACCTGTGTGAGATTTGGAGTAACTATTTTCCCTGGTACAGTATGGACTCAAGTTTCTCCTCTCAGAGAAGAAAAATTATTAGTTTTTTTAGAACTTACTTAGGTATTATGATATAAAAGTAGAATACATCAATAAAATATTGTTTGGAATGCTCATCATACTCTATTCTTTTTTGATGATAAAAGTGTACTTATAGAATTTAAACATCAGCATAATAATTATTATAGAGTATTTCAGAGGGGAAATCTGATTATTCAGTCTTCTCCTTGATTGAGTTCTATGTAAGTAGAAATGCACTGTCAGGACTATATTTGATATAAAAGGTAATCTGATCCAAAAGTGTTTAGGAGACAACCTGAGATTTTAAAATAGAGATATAAACAAGTAGCACAGGGTCTCTGAACTCAACAGGCACTAAAATATTAGAACAGAAATATTAATAATTCTAAAATGCCCTTTTGCCACTGTAGTCAATTTTAGCCAAAATACCAGGAAAGCAAAAGCTTTAAAGAAGCAGGATTTTCAGAGTAGAACTGGGGGAGAAGATCTACATGGAATTTAAAGGAACTATGGATCATTTAAAAGCAACTGGGTGTACAGAAGTGCGATTCTTCAAAATGGAGCTCAGACCTGATGAATGAAACGCTTTCTCTGCAGGGAATTCAGTGCACTTTGGGGACAAAAGGTAGTCCCATTAAGGGGGGCCCTGCCTCCTCACTTCCCTGGGTGCCTTCCTCCCACATCGGCCTCTTTTCTGTGAAGGAAGGCGAATGCTGACTGCAAAGTGCCATCGCCGCTCTGCTGGGAAAAGCAGAGGAAGGTGGCCCAGAGGAAACCACAGAGTCCAGTGTAAGCTGTCCTCCAGTGGACGGGAACCAGGCCGAAGTTGGTCAGCTGGAACAGAGAGAGTCTGTAAGGGCTCCACAAGTCAGAGGCAGGGTTGGCATTCTGAGTGGTTTTGTTTATTTGTCTATTTGGGGTTTTGTTTTGGCAGCGCTGGGCATCAAACCCCAGACCTCAGACATGCCAGGCAAGCCCCCTCCCATGGAGCTACACCCCAGCCCTCGGTTCCAAGGAGTTTGAAACTCACCTGTACAAAAGGCCAGTACATCAGACCTGTCTGGAATAAGGAAAAACCTGATTAGAATGCTTTTTCAATCTCACACACACAATTCTATAAGAACAAGAAATATGAGGAAGACAAAATGCCCAGGTGGTACACTGTTTCACACTAAGCCGATTAAATTCAGATTACTCTTTTCTTCCTTTTTTCTTTCTTTCTCTATTCGCTTCTTTCTTTCTTGACTGTTCCCATTTCAGGCATACTTTCTTTTTTTACTTGTTTATATTTTCTGAAGTTTCTAAACTAAACAGTTGCAAACCAAAGATATACTATGTACTTTTACATTAATATATATTACATGTACTACATATTTTATATTTAAAGTATATGTTCATTTGAGAATTTAACAAAGTATTTTTGTAAAGTAGCAAAAAATAATTCTCGAAGGCTAAACCCATTCAAATATGGCTTGACTTCTTTCTTTTTCTTTTTCTTGGGGGGGGGATTGAACCCAATGGTGCTTAACCACTGAGCCACATCCCCAGCCCTTTTTATTTTTTTATTTTGAAACAATCTCACTAAGTTGCTTAGGGCCTCACTAAGTTGCTGAGGCTGACCTTGAACTTCTGTGATCTTCCTGCCTCAGCCTCCTGTGTCACCTGGATTAAAAGTCTGAGCCAGTACACCGGATCATCTTTTTTTAAATTTTTTTTTAGATGTTGATGGACCTCTATTTTATTTATTTATTTATTTGTTTGTTTGTTTGTTTATATGCAGTGTTGAGAATTGAACCCAATGCCTCTCACACACCAGGCAAGTGCTCTACCACTGAGCTACAATCTCAGCCTCCTGGCTCACCTTTTATAGTTAAAAAAAATATATATATATTTGGAAATAATTTCAAACTTACAAAAACTAACAAGAATAGTCTAAGTAAGCTGGGCTCAGTGGTACACACCTGTAATCCCAGCAGCTAGGGAGGCTGAAGCAGGAGGATTAAGAGTTCAAAGCCAACCTCAGCAATAGTGAGGCACTAAGCAACTCAGTGAGGCCCTGTTTCTAAATAAAATACAAAATAGGGCTGGGGATGGGGCTCAGTGGTTGAGTGTCCTTGAGTTAAATCCCTGGTAGAAAGAAAGAAAGAAAGAAAAGAAAAGAAAGAAAGGAAGGAAGGAAGGAAGGAAGGAAGGAAAGAATAGTCTAAAGAACATTCCTGTATTCTTTATCCAAATTCACCTATTTTTTTAACACTTTGTCCCACTTGCTTTATTAATTGCTTGCTCCATGCCTCCATCCCTCCATGCCCCCGCCCATGCACGCCCCTCTCCAGGCTACTTGCATGCATGCATCTGTCTGATATGGTTTTGTGGATCATCTGAGAGGACGCTATACACAGAATTGCCCCTTACCCCTGGATACTTAAGTATCTATTTCCTTAGAATTAGGATGTTCTTTTATATCACCACAATTCTATAGGTTATATAATCATCAATTTCAATAAAGTTACCAATGACCATGCTTTATATATTGTCCATTGTGGGAGCCACCCTGGATGACGGTGCCTTTAAGTCCTGATGTACGGGATTCTGAGAATTATTGCTTTCAGTCTGGCCCAGTAGCGCCAGGTCACAGTAACTTGGGCATTACCCCAGCTCGGATAACAAGGAGTGGCTCCAGGAGTAGGTGTCACCCACTGGGGTTAAGTTACACTCACCTGTTCCTTTGTAATCCTACCCCTTCTACCTTTTTTGGATAGAATATTCTAAGAAACAGTGTCCCCCCAAATAAAAGCCCACTTCCAAAGTGTGTGCTCGCTCTCTCTCTCTCTCTCTCTCTCTCTCTCTCTCTCTCTCTCTCTCTCTCTCTCTCAGCCTCTCGTGACCTTCTCTTGTCCCCCTTTTGTGGAGCCTGAGGCCAGGAGCCAGAGAAAGCCAACCTGAAGCTTATAAGAGGTATTCTGTGTCTGTGTGGTATTTTGCATCACCCGAATTCACACGAGTGACTTTAGTTCAGCTGCCCGCACTGGATGGGGGTGGCAGTCCATATCCCATTTTTCCAATTCAGGGACACAATATCTTTGTTTATTTATTTTTATGTGGCTCTGAGATTCAAACCCAGTGCCTCACACATGCAAGGCAAGTGATCTACCACTGAGCTACAACCCCAGTCCCTTCATGTCATTTCTTTTCCTTATGGTACGGGATCTATTTTAGGATGAGGAATTGCATGTACTTGCCGTGTCCCATTAGTTCCATTGATTAGGGACATTAAAAAAAAAAAAAAAAACTATTATGACATTGCTATCTCTGAAGAGTAAAGTCTTGCTTCTCTTAGAATAAAAACAAATATTTTAATATGGGGAGGTTTGTCTGTGCTTCCTCATGATTAGATTTGGGTTATAATTCCTGGCTGGAACACTGCATGTGGGTGGTGTCACGTCCTCGAGGTATCCCATCAGAAGGCGCATGATGCCCACCTGCCACTGATCAGAGATGCTCATTTTGATCACTGCTCGTGGTGTCGTTTTGCCACTGCACAGTTGCCCTTCTTTTACCCTTGAAACTATCATGGGTAGCAATAATGTAACTGTAGGGAGGCACTGAAGACCATTCAAACAGGAGCCCCTCCCCTTCAGGATACCCTCCTCCCTATGGGTGGATTCTCTGCCTCCAGTTGATTCTGTCTGGCCCACTGTCCTGTTGTGATGGGCTGCCTCATGGTGAGCTTCCATCCCCAGCAGTGGTCCCCCATTTGACCCGCTGCTGCCAGCATTCTGCTCTCCCAGGTATTTCTCTTTATTATCTGTATGGACTCAGGATTTCCTACTTCTTTCTATGTTTTATAATCCATTACTCTGCTTCATTATTTTTGGTGCTCAGGTGCCCCAGATTTAGCCAGTGGGAGGCCCTTCAAGCTGGCTCCTATGTCCTTGTGCTGTGCCACATCTTTTTTTTCTTTTTGAAAAATCTACTTCCTGGGGCTGGGGTTGTGGCTCAGCGGTAGAGCACTCGCCTAGCACGTGTGAGGCCCTGAGTTCAATCCTCAGCACCACGTATAAATAAATAAAACAAAGATATTGTCTAATTACAACTAAAAAATAAACATTAAAAAGAAAAATCTACTTCCTGACAGGTAAGGTGATGCATGCCTGTAAGTCCAGCAACTTGGGAGGCTGAGGTAGGAGGATTCCAAGTTTGGGGCAGCCTCAGCAATTTAGTGAGACCCTGTCTCAAAATAAAAAGGGCTGGGGAAGAATAATCCTGTATTCTGCAGTCCTGAAGAATTCTTCAGAGATAGCAATGTCATAATAGATTGAAAAACAAAAGGCTCAGAAAATAGGAAATGTCCCTGATGAATGGGGATGTGGTTAAGCACTTCTGGGTTCAATCCGAAATTTTTAAAAAAACAAAACTTCCTTACATTCTGGTATAACGAGATGTTCCAGGCTTAACTAATACCTTGTACCTTGTACCTGTCCTTCCCTAGTCTTGGAACCAGTCATTTCTTTAAGGAGTCCTCATTCATTCTTTTTTTATTAGGAATGATGTTAGAGACCAAAGTTTGAGCACTGATGGCACCATGTTATGTCAATAAAATCAGTGGCAGATGGGTGTAGTGGTAGTACATGCCCGTAATCCCAGCTGCTCTGGAGGAGGATCTCAAGTTCAAAGTCAACCTAAGCAACTTAGTGAGGCCCTAAGTAACTCAATGAGTGAGACCCTGTCTCTAAATTTAAAAATACAAAAAAAGGCTGGGGGTGTGGCTCAGTGGTTGAGCGCTCCTGGATTCACTCCCCAGTACCAAAAAAGAAAGAAAGAAAATCAGTGGCCAACAGGGCATGGAGGTGCATGCCTCTAATCCCAGCAGGCATGGGCGAGGGTGAGGAGGAGAATCACAAGTTCAAAGTCTCAGCCTCAGCAACTTAGCAACTATACAAAAACTATAAACTATGCAAGAGAAGAATGTAATATCAAATTGACTTGTTTTGTTTTTGGTACCAACAACTGAACTCAGGGGCACTCAACCACTGAGCCTCATCCCCAGCCCTATTTTGTATTTTATTTGGAGACAGGGTTTCACTGAGTTGCTTAGCACCTTGCTTTTGAGGCTGGGTTTGAATTCTTGATCCTCCTGCCTCAGGCTCCCAAGCTGCTGGAATTACAGGTGTGTACCACTGCGCCCAGCTCAGATTGACTTCTAAGAGAGAATACATTTGAGCCCCAATACTGCAGCCGGTGAAAGGAGACTGAAATTGCATGCCTTCTGCGCACAAAGTGAAAAAACAAACCAAAAGGCTCAATACATGAACAACAAATATTGTAGTCACATCCTTCCCACCTCCATTTAAAGAACAGACTGGAGTGGGGTGTGGTGGCATCCCCCTTTATTATCCCCATGAGGGGGGAGGCTGAGGCAGGGAATCACAAGTTCAAGACCAGCCTCAGCAACTTAGCAAGGCCCTGTCCCAAAATAAAAAGAGCAGGGATGTGGTTCAGTGGTAAAGTACCCCTGGGTTTTGTCCCCAGCACCAAAAAATATAGAAAGAAAGAGCATGGATTGGGCAGAGAAGTGGCTTCTTTACAACCAATACTCACCCTACCACTTGGAGTCAAGATAGCCCTCTGTGGCGGATTCGTTGTGAATACTTCTGACTGCAAACACTTTGTACTATTAGTTTCATTGGTCAAACTCGAATCAAGAGCCCAGTTTGCAGCCAATTTCTCCTATGTCTAATACCGCTAGCTCTGAACTCTCTTCTGTGTAGTAGAAACCTCACAATAGACCAAAGTATCTGAAATTCAACATTTCCCAAACTGAACCTGTCTTATTTTCTCTGATTGGCCCTTCCTCCATGTCCTATGTCATATGAAGACACACCACACATACGGTTGCTCCAGCCAGAAATCTGCTCCATCCCTCACCCCTTGACACTGCTTTTGATGGAGAACTAAATATATCTGAAACATGAGGCCCATCTGCATATATTCTGGAATCCTGAAGTTTTATCTCATTGTTATTAATAGAATCAAACCTGCTCTGGGCCAGAGATGAAAAATATCCCTGATTTTGCCAAGCCTTAGGATCGTGTTCAACAGATTTTTTTATTGACTAAATAAATGAAATGTGTGCGGGGCTGGATTGTATGCATTTGTACTGAGCAAACAGCACAGCAGGAGACTTGCTCCAAGCCTAGGGAGAAACCTGGGAAACATCACCCTTCTCTGTAAATACCTCTGTGGCATTAAGAAGATTCTTTTCACAAGGACTCAGCAGAAGGCACACCTGGAAACACTGGCTCTGAATGTGGGAACAATTTCATTAAAGCCACTCACATTCTCCAATTTCTACTTTGCAGCTAGCCTCTGAAATTTACAAAATAAATTGTGATCACTCATAAGCCGAAATATGATAAAGCCCCCAATCATCATGAATGTTGACGAAAATAAAGAGATTCTTTTCTACCCATGAGAAGCAAAGACAGCCCTAAGTCTCTTTCCAGTCAGCTGTCAGAACAAATTCCCATCAGGTACAGTGGTGCACGGCTGTAGTCCCAGCTAACAGGAGGATCACTTGAGTCCAGGAGTCTGAGAGCAGCTGGAGCAACACAGTCAGACCCCATTGCAGAAAAAAAAGAAAGAAAGAAAGAAAAATAAAACACAGGGCTGGGGATATATTGCCTCACATGCACAAGGTCCTAGGTTTGATCCCCAGCACCACGAAAACATAAAGAAAGAAAAAATAAAATATAAACAACAATTTGAAAATATTTAATGCATGCCTTAATCCCAGCGACTAGGGAGGCTGAGGCAGGGGGATCATAAGTTTGATTATAAGATTGGTCCAGTATCTATGAGATACTGGACCAATCAAATTGGAACCCTAATTTAAAAATAGTTTTACTAAAACGTACTTAATGTTAAAAATCTGCAAATACAATTTCAAAAACCTGTCTTACCTTATACGTGTTCCAAAATTTCTGTTTCAAGTCCAAAAGTACGTCATCCTTTTCCTGAAGAATGCTCATACCTATGTACAAAAGCACACACAGAAAGAATTTTAGGGATGGGGTGTACCTCAGTATTATTGCAATCAAAATTTAAATGTAGGGTGTCAATTTAGCCTTCCTGAAAACTACTTCATCATCCCTGGAAAGAAATTTGGGGATGGGGGGACTCTCTTAGGAAGGGTATAAAAATCAGTGTAATTTAAAAATTCTGCCCCAATCCTGAATGGAATGTTTCTGGACTACTGTGTTCAAGGACCTGGCTGTGATCCCCAGTACTGGAAAAAAACATTTTTTTTTTAGCCAGGTGCAGAGGAGCACAAGTTCAAAGCCAGCCTCAGCAAAAGTGAGGCACTAAGCAACTCAGTGAGACCCTGTCTCTAAATAAAATACAAAATAGGGCTAGGGATGTGGCTCAGTGTTTGAGTGCCCCTGGGTTCAACCCATGGTACAAAAAAAAATTTTTTTAATTTTTTTTTATAGATCCAGGTAAAATATTACTGTATAACAGTTCTTATTCAAGTTTTCAATTCCCATATTCAAAGTAACCAGCCATAATCACTCAATATATTCCTTTTGATCCAACAGTGAAAACAGAACACAATCTTCATTTCAAAACTAGATAAATGGTGGCCCAGCCTCGTGGCACACTCCTATACTACCAGCCACTAGGGAGCCTGAGGCAGGAGGATCTCAAGTTTGAGGCCAGCCTGGGCAATTTAGCAAGATCCTGTCTTGAAATAAAAAGGTGTGGGGATTAGCTCAACGATTGCCCAATATGTTCTAGGCCCCGGTTCAATCCCATGTACAAAAAATAAAAATAAAAATAAAAGACTAGATAAATTTTAAAGTAATGGCAAATACAAAGTTAGAATAATAGTTTATAGCAGAACAAATATTTTTTTCAATAAAAAAATGGTAAGAATCCACACACACATACAAAGTAGCATTAGTATAATGAACCTGTCAGTGAGATTTTCAAACATTTTGTGAAATGCTGAATATTTTTAAATTTCCTTTTTTTAAAAAAATATTTTTTAGTTGTCGATGGACCTTTATTTTATTTATTTGTATGCGCTCTGAGAATCAAACCCAGTGCCTCACGCATGCTAGGCAAGCCCACTACCACTGAGCCATAACCTCAGCTCCTCCTTTTTTTTCTTTTTTTTAATGCATGCTAAACACATGCTCTACCACTGAGCTACATCACTACCCTAATGTTATTCATTTTAAAAAGGCTGGTAGACTCTGGATATTCTAGCAACTGCAAATTTCCCATCAGTATTATTCTAATCAGAGTTTAAATGCAGGGTATCATTTAACCTTCCTGAAAACTACTTCATCATCCCTGGAAAGAAATTTGGGAATGGGAAGACTTTCTTAGGAAGGGTATAAAAATCAGTGTGATTTAAAAATTCTCCCCCAACCCTGATTACCAAGGAAGGGAAATCAGAGACTTATTAGTCAATTGCAGAAGATTCTTAGAACAAGAATCAAAAGAAAACCCAGCAAAAAAAAATATCGGTAATACTGTGTTCCACTTGCCCAGCATTAGTTAAATGCTATGCACTTCCTGTGTACCATTTCACCTGACCCGCCTAACAATTCTCCAAAGTAGGTAAGGCTAAAAGAAGGAAAAAAGATTAGGGAGGCTAATATCAGTGGAGTCCAACCTAGCTGTCCAATTCCAAGCCAGACCTCAAAACCGTCAGTACTCTGCCTCCCCAAGGTGGTCCTGACACAAAACATCATCAGACTTAGGCAATTTCCAAGTAACACCTTCAACAAGCATCCAACTCACCCCTCCTGCCTTCCCTCTTTGTTGTAACATGAAGAGAGGGAAAATGGAGGAGAAGTCAAAAACCAAAGCAAAGCAGCAATCTGAGCAGGAGTCTCTACCAGGGCCCTCAGGCCTCAATCACAAAAGACCAAAACCACTGAGACTTAGCTTTTTCTGACCTCAGACAGACAACAGCTCACCATCAGGGTCTCAAGATCAAGAACATGATTGACAGCCTAAAGATGTGGTCTTTGGGGTGAATCACTATTTGTAGGATGAGAATAAGGAGAGTACTTGCTTCATTGGTTGAAGATTAAAACAAATCCTGACCCCTTCACCAGTGTAAGGCCACTGTACTAACAGGCACAGGAACCTATTTGCAAACTTGGTTGGGACCAGGCACAGATCTTCCAATAAAATCAGGAGGCCCCTGCTCTCAGGCTGTCTAGTCTCCCCATCCCACTGACCCCATCGGCCAGAGGTTAGCTGAGACTTCAACAGGCAACCAGGTCTTTGATGATTCCTGTACCGTCTGTAGGGACTGTGGCCACCAAGCTGGGCTACAATTTATCTGGTATTTGAAAGAAGATTATGTTCTATTTTTACTGTTGGCCTCCCTAAATAAGATCTTGGTGCAGGGATGTTTCCTCAAGTTGGTGGCTCCCTCCTCTCAACCAGTTTTAAGAGTCACTGAGCCACTGAGAGAGGTCCCCTCCCAATTAGGGAGGGAATTTGTGACTCCCAGTGCCAAGGTTAGGTTGCAAACTGTAGAGATTTTCTTCAGAAATGAGAGTCCCTCCCCAGTTACCTGCCGGGATCGAGGCTCTACATAAGTTGCTAGGATGTTGGAAAGCTACCCACCCACCCCTTCTGTATTTCTTGGTGGTCCGGCAAGGGTTGCCAAAGTCAGACCTTCCACCTGCTGGCACATTTTCTGAAGAGAAGGCTTCCTTGCAGGTATAGAGTCCCCTCAAATTCTGAGTGAGACCCCCATGGAAAATCTTGTTACCAAAGCAGGACTAGGACCCTGGGCGTGGATTTTCTGGGCAACTAGGCCCAGCGACAGGTTCCACCTGCTCTGCTTCCCACAGTTCTGGGTCCCCTAGCACTTTGATGGTGTGTTGGACCCAGAGCATGAATTTTCCAGCAGCAGGATGCCTCCAGGGAGTGCAGTTGCTACAGGGTCAAGCTGGGGTTTAGGGAAAAGACCCCAAACCCTACCTATGTCCACTCTTGAACTCTGTCCAAATCGCCTCTGCTCTGATCCCTGGACCACCGGACTCCCCAGCTCCCAGGCTTCCCTAATTCCTCTCTCTGAGAAACCTCAATTTTCCAGTCCCAGCACCACAGCCCGGGTTCCCAGCCTCCAGTCCCCACCCCAGGGCTTTCAAACCGGGTCCCCACTTCCAGAGCTCCCTGCTTCTGCCTAAGTGCTCCGTCCCTGCAACAGTGCGCAAGGATCCTCCGCCCCCTCAGTCCTTTAACCTCCTTCTGGGCCTCCAGTACCCTAATCTCGGCACTCAGGCCCTCTAGTACCCCGGTCCCCTGGACCCTGCCCTGGCCCCTCACCGACATAGAAGGCCGAGAGGGCGATGGGCCCTCCGAACAGCTGGTCGCACAGCACCTTGGTCAGGACCACGCGCGGCGCACGGCCGGGCAGCGCGCGCTCCAGCAGGCGCAGCCACACGTAGTTGAAGTTGGCGTGGAAGGTCACGGCCAGGGTGGCCACGCGCCGCGTCTGGCGCCAGTCTGCCGGGCCGCCCCGCAGCCGCTGCTGGAGCGCGTCGCCGGCCGAGAAGAGCCCGGCGTACAGCAGGACGTTGGTGGGCCACGGGTAGCGCTGGGCCGCGCGCGGCAGCGCGCGCCACCATCCAGCCATGCCGGTGCCTGGGCACCCGCCCAGCCGCCTTACTGCACCGTCTCGGCCGCCCGCCGCCCGCGAGCCGAGCACCTCCACCTCCACCTTCACCTCCACCTCCACCTCCACCTGCCTCCTCCGGATGCTCGAGAGCGATTGGGCGCCCCGCGCACGCCCAGCCCGCGCGTCCAATCCCGAGGCCGCTGGCCATCGTGGGGGCTGAGCATTTGGAAAGCGCCTGGTCGGCGCAGTGCTAGAGTCCATTTGCATGAAATCTCCAGAATAGGCAAATCCAGACTGACAGAAGGTAGATTAGTCGTGGTCAGGGCTGGGCCATGTGAGAACAAAAAGGGACTGCTACCGGGGCTTGGGGTTCTTTTTAAGAGTGACCAACACGTTTTGTAATCAGACCCGGGCGATGGTTTGCAGGACTGTGTGAATATGCTAAAAGACATAAAAGGATGGATTTTGTGAATTCTATCTCACAAAATAAAAGATTCGGGCTCAAAAAAAAATGGCAATGTATTCTAAATGCTTGCCTGCAAGGAATTCATTCAGCACACAAAATACACTGACAGTGTCACTTCTTTTGGAGAAAAACAAAGGTTAAAATCCGAGACTTTTCGTGAATGTGAGATGGGCCAGTGTGCCTACTGTCTTCTCTTCAGTTGGCCCTCCATTGTCACTGCCTCCCCACAACAGCCTGAGTTCCCGAGCATTGTCCGGTGAGCAGGGGTCAGTGGACACCAGAACAGGTAGAAGCTCTGCCCTCATGGAACTCATTTTCTCCTTACTTCTTTTCCTGTTCTTTCCACATTTTCTGTTTATCCTATTTTACTTAATTTTTAAATGTATATTTTTAAACTTTTTCTTCCACATTAAAAAATTTTTTTAATTTATTCATTTATTTTTCTATATGGCACTTCCCGCTCCACTCTTCCCACCTCTTGGTTCCTAGCTTCTACTCTACTGATTTTCCTTTGATTTTCATGAGATCCCTGCCTCTCTTCTCTTCTCCATTTTCCTCTGTGGCTTCCACTTATGAGAGAAAACACATGATTTTGACCTTCTGGGTTTGACTTATTTCCCTTAACATATGTTCTCAAGTTTTATCTATTTTTCTGCCAATGACATAATTTCACCGTCTTTATGGCTGAATAAAACTGCATTGTGTATATGTATCACATTTTCTTTATCCATTCATCTGTTGATGGTCACCTAGGCTGGTTCCATAGTTTGGCTATTGTGAATTGTGCATGTACCACTGTAGTATGCTGACTTCAATTCTTTAGGATAAATACTGAGGAGTGGTATTGCAGGTCATAATGTGGTTCCAAGCCTAGTCTTTTGAGGAACCTCCATACTGATTTCCACAGTGGCTATACTAATTTTCAATCTCACCAACAGTTTAAAGGTGTTCTTTTTTCTCCCCATCCTCTCTAGCATTTACTACTCTTTATATTTTTTTAAAATAATTTTTAGTTGTAGATAGACAAAATGCCTTTATTTTTAAAAATTTTTAGCTGTAATTGGACACAATACCTTTATTTTATTTATTTTTATGTGCTGCTGAGGTCTGAACACAGTGCCTCACATGTACTAGGCAAGCTGTCTGCCACTGAGCCACAACCCTAGCCCTGTTTATATTCTTGATGACTGGTGTGAGATGAAGTCTCAGTGTAGTTTTTAATTTGCATTTCCCTAATTGCTAATGATGAACATTTTTTCATATATTTGTAGGTCATTGAATTTCTTCTTTTACAAAGCATCTGTTTAGTTTATTTGTCCCATTTAATTGGATTTTTTTAGTGATAAGTTTTTTTTTTTAGTTCTTACATATTTTAAACATTAATCCTCTATCAGAAGATGTTTTAGTCAGCTTTGTTGCCACTATAACCAAAAAAAAAAAAATGTGCAAAGAACAATTTTAGAGGAGGAAAAGTTAATTTGGGGGTTCACAACTTCACAGGTCTCAGTCCATAGACAGCCAGCTCCATTTCTCTGGGCCTAATGTGTGGCAGAACATCATGGCAGAAGAATGTGTAGGAAAGTGGCTCAGGACATGGCTACCAGGAAGTAAAGAGAGACACTGCAGACCAGGGACAAATATATACCACAAAATATGCCCCCCATGACCCTCCTCCTTCAACCAGACTCTACCTGTCTACAGTTATCACCCAGTTAATATTAACCCAGTTTAGGTTAAGGCTCTCATAACCTGATCATTTCACTCCTGAACTTTCTTGAATTGTCTCATGTATGAGTTTTTGGGAGAGACCTAATACCTAAACCATAACAGAAGAATAGTTAACAAAGATTTTCTCCCATTCTGTAGGTTCTCATTCCTAATTGTTTCCTTTGCTATGCAGAAGTTTTTTTCAATTTGATAACATCCCATCTATTAAATCTTCACATTATTTCCTGAGCTTTAGGGGTCCTATTGACATAGTCATTGCTTGTGCCTATATGTTGGAAGCATTGGCTTTATATTTTCTTCTAGGAGTTGCCTAGTTTCTGGTCTAATTCCTAGGTCCTTCATCCATTTTGAGTTGATTTTTGTACAGCATGAGAGATAAAGGTCTAGTTTCCTTATTGTACATGTAGATAACCAATTTTCCCAGCACCATTTGTTTAAAAGGCTGCTTTTTCTTCAATGTACGTTTTTTGGCTCCTTTGTCAAGGATCAGATGACTATCTCTGTGGGCTTGTCTTTGTGTCTTCTATTCTGTACCACTGGCATATGTGTCGTTTCTTATGTCAGAATCATGTAGTTTTTGTTACTATAGTATAATTTGAAGGCAGGTATTTTGATACCTCCAGCATTGCTTTTTTGTCTTAGGATTGCTTTGTCTATTTTGGGTCTTTTATTCTTCCAAATGAATTTTAGGACTGTTTTTTCTAAGTCATTGGTATTTTGATGGGGATTGCTTTGAATCTGTATATTGCCTTTGATAGTGTGGCCATTTTAATATTAATTATGCCTATACATGAACATGGGAGGTCTTTCCATCTTATGAGGTCTTCTTCAATTTCTTTCTTCAGTGTTCTGTAGTTTTCATCGTAGAAGTCTTTAGCCTTCTAGATTTATTCCTACGGTTTTTTGTTTTTGAGACTATTGTGAATAAAATAGGTTTTTTTTGACATTCTAAATATAGGATCATTAACTGCAGTGATAGTTTGTCTTCTTCCTTTGCTATTTTTATTCCTTTTTAAATTCCCTTCTTTTGCCTAATGGTGCTGGCTAAAATATCTAGCACTATAATAAATAGGAGGGGTGAGAGTGGACATCCTTGTCTTGTTCCAGATTTTAAAGGAAATGCTTTCAGTTTTTCCCCATTTATTATGAGATTGGCTTTGGTTTTTCATAAATAGTGTTGAGGTAGTTTCCTTCTATCCCTAATTTCTTCAGTGTTTTTATCATGCATGGGTGCTGAATTACATTTATTGATTTGCATGTTAAACCATCCTTATATCTCTGGAATAAAACCAATGTTTTATTCATGATGTACAATCTTCATAATATTTTGTTGAACACTAATATTTTATTAAGAATTTTTGCACCTAAGTTCATCCAGGATATTGGTCTGTAGTTCTCATTCCTTAATGCATCCTTATCTAGTTTTAGTATGAGTATGATATTGATTTCATAGAATGAATTTCGAAGTGTTCTTTCCCTTTCTACTTCATGGAATAATTTGAGGAATATTGACATTAGTTCTTTAAATGTCTGGTAGAATTTGACTGAGAATCCATCTGGTCCTGGGCTTTTCTTTGTAGGGAGGCTTTTTTTTTTAAACTGCTTCTGTCTTATTACAAGTTATTGGTCTGTTTGTTTCCTCTGTCCTCTTGATTCAATTTTGTTAGATTATATGTGTCTAGAAATGTATCCATTTCTTCTAGATTTTCCAATTTATTGGACTATAAATTTTCAAAATAGTCCCTAATGAGCTCTGGGTTTCTGTGATGTCTGTAGTATTTTCTCCTTTCCTCTCCTCTAACTTTATTAACTTGGAATTTCTCTCCTTTTCTTTTGGTTAGTTTGGCTAAGGGCTTATAGATCTTGTTTATCTTTTCAAAGAACCAACTTTGTTTCACTGATTCTTTGTATTATTATTTTTTTTATTCTCAAGTTCATTGATTTCAGCTCTGATCTTATTTCTTTCCTTCTACTGGTTGTGGGATTGGTTTGTTGCTCTTTTTTTCAAGGGACTTGAGATTCACCATTGGGTTGTGTATTTGGGATCTTTCTGATTTTCTAGTGTAGGCACTCATAACTATAAACTTTCCTCTTAGAACTGACTTTATAATGTCCCAGATTGTCTGTTTTTTTAACTGTTCTCATTTGAGCAAAAAAATTTTAATTTCTTTCCTGATTTCACCCATTCATCATTCAAAAGTGTATTTTTCAATCTTCCTGTGTTTTTATAATTTCTATAGGGTCTTGTCATTTTGATTTCTAATTTCATGCAATCTGATAAGATGCAAGGAATTATACCTTTTTGTGTGTGTATTTGCTAAGAGTTGCTTTGTGGCCTGATTTTTAACTTTAAATTTTTTAAATAATTCCAGAATTACAAAAAGAGTTGAAAAAATAATTTATTGAGTATCATTATGTGCCAGGCAATAAACTGGAGGCTTAGAAAGGACTTATAATTGCTGCTGCTTCTTTTTCTTCCCAGGGCTGAGGATTGAACCCAGGGGCTTGTGAATGCTAGGCAAGTGTTCTGCCACTGAGCTACGTCTCCAAATTCACGGATTTGTATTTTCTATGTTTTTTTTTTAAATCCAATTCCTGTCTAAATTAGAAGAAATTTATATGATCTATGAGAAAAGAAACTCTCCCTAATGATTCCTACACAATTCTCTTAACTAAATTTGTTGAAAGAAATAGAAAAATTTGGTTCTTAGAAAAGGAGACCTGGAGCTGGAAGTGGGGTGGGTTATGGTTAGGGCTGCCAAGTAAAATAGAAGGTGCCCAGGTGCCCAGTTACCTAAGGAGATCAGATAAACAAAGAATAACTTTTTTAGGATAAGTATATACCATACAAAGTTTGGGGCATAGTCGAATTGAAAACATCTTCATTATTCATCTGAAATTAAAAGTTAATTGGATACC